TATGTATATTTAACTTAAGTCGTGTGCGTCTTATTACGTGCAACGTTGCCAATTTTAAACCCGGCCAAATTTTAAAAAGCGTTAAACGTAAAATTCGAGATTGATAATAACTAATAAATAATCGTTATAAAATATATTTTAAATGTTAATAAAAAAAAAAGAAAAAAGGATATTATATGATATATAATAAAAACCTTTATCTTTTTAACGTGCTTTCAAAGACAAAAAAAATAAATAAATAAATAAATAAACTCTCTCTCTCTCTCATAGTGTTTTCCAATAAAAATTTCAAACAAGTTAACTGTTTATAAGTTTAACGTAAAACTGTTATAAGCAATGTTGTTAAAAACAATATTTAAAAAAAAAAAACAAGTTTTAAAAAATTTTCCTTAAAGTTGTCTTATTTTTCCCCTTTTCTTTCCCAATCCTCTATACTCTCCCTTAAACAAACAAAACAAAACAAAAGGTTTGAGAAAAACAAAACAAAACATAAACAATTGAAATTACCAGCAAAACAGTAACATTTTTTATTTGTGAATTATTATTATTATTATTATTATTATTATTATTATTATTAATGACAACAATTTAAAATATTTTTTTTTAAAATAATTAAGTTAAAGATAATTTAATAATTTTTTTTTTTTTTAAGTACGTTATTTATTATTATTGTCTTATACTCGATAAATAAAATCATTTTTATTTATTTTTATTTTATTTAATTTAATTTTAACAAACTAAACCTACAACATACATTTATTTAATCAACTCTTATATAAATATATATTTATTATTATTATCATTCATTATTATTATTATTAATAATATTCACAGCCGCTAAGGGCGTTCGTTTGTGTTTATGCCAGAAAACAAAAAAAAAAAAAAAAAAAATTTTTTTTTTTTCAATAAATAATTTATTCTACAATTTATTCATTTTTTATAATATTAAACAATTATTATTATTATTATTAATTATTATTATTATTATTATCAATTATTAATAGTAGAATATAAAAGCTTCAGTGACACGAAAAACAGCATCCGAATATTTCATTTTTTTTTTTTTTTTTATTAATCGATAACGATCGATTAATAATTATTTATTGATTAATACGAATATAAAAAATATTTTTTTTTTTTTGTTGGCGGAAGCAATCGATTATTGCATATTTTAAAAGCGAATAAATAAATAAATAATTAATTAATTAAAACAAAAGAGAGAACACAACAAATAATAATAATAATATTATTATTATTATTAATATTGGCGGTAATGATAATAAAATTTCCGTTAATAGAAAAAAAAAAAATGGCCGCGATCTTTAACTTACATACAGAAGACAATAAATTATTATTAACGATTTGTAAAAATAATAATAATAATAATAAATATTTATACATTTTATTAACCGAAATTATAAAACAAAATTATTATTATTATTATTATTATTGATATAACAAATAAATAAACGTCGAATTAAAGTAAAGTAAAAATGAATGAATGAATCAACAATTTAAATTTAAATTACAATTATTATGTAAATGCAATGATTATTAATAATAATAATAAATTAATAAAATTTATACATAAACGCACATTAGATAAATAAATAAATAAATAAATAGGGAGTTGAAATGTTATAAATAAATAAATAAATAACAAAAGTATTTAAAATTATTAATTTTTTTTTATTTAACAAAATACTAATTAAATTTCATAGAATACGATCGACGTTATCATCATCATCATCATCATCATCATCATTATTATTAATATTATTATTAATTAAATTTTTATTTAAATTACTTTATAATTTATTGTTAAATAATTTAGGGCGACAAAATAAAAAAAAAAAATTATTAAAAATTTTGCGGATGATTTTTATTACATATTCTAAAAAAAATAATGATTAAATAAATAAATAAATAATAATATATAATTATTAAAGTGATCGAAACGTGTTAATTTTAACTACTATTATTATTATTATTATCATCCAGTGATTTTATTTTAAATATAAGTGGAAAATATTTATTTAATTAATTACCGACTCTTTTTTATTTTTATTATTATTATTATTATTGTTATCAATAAGTTATGCATGCTTTATTATTATTATTTTTTTTTTTTAATTATTGTTGAATTGGAAAAAAAAAAAATTTTTTTCTTTAAGGTGTATTAACAAAATGTTTATTATTGTGAAATTGTTTAAACAATAATAATAATAATAATTATTTAAATAAATAAATAAATTTATTTAAAATAATTAAAGTTCAAATTTAGAGATTAAAAAAAAAAAAAAACAAAAATTTATTTTATTTTAAATTTTATTATTATTAAACAACCCTTCTGAGACTAAATTTCAATAATTTCATTATTATTATTATCATTATTATTAATTATTTATTTAATTCAATTTATTACAACGATTCGTTTGTTTGTTTGTTTGCAAATTTAACAAAAAAAAAAAAATTATAATTAATTTAAAAGCCACGTATTATAAAATTTGAAAAATAAATAAAAAATTATGTATGTATGTATGTATATATTTTTCCTTTAATAAATTAAATAAAGTCATGGAAAATTTTTTTCTTTTTCTTATTATTATTATTTTTATATATTTATAAAAATTAAAAATTAATTTATTATTATTAATACTGTCTTGTTTTGTGTTTTGAAAAATGAGATTCTTTTAAATTTAATTGAATAATAATAAAAGTTTTTTTTTGTCTTTTTTTATATTATTATTATTATTATTATTATCATTATTAGTATTATTATTAAATTTAAATTCTAACGATTTGTTGTTGTGTATGTATTCAATATGTAAACAAATAAATAACTTTTCTTTTTTTGTGCATCACACATGAAATCAAATCTGCATTACTATTATTATTTTTCAAAAAAAAAAAAAAAAAAACTAAAAATAATAATAATAATAATAATAATAATAATCCTACTACAAATTAGGAACGATTACCGAAATTTTTATTTTTTTATCATTTTTTTAATAATTACTAACAAAAAAATAAATAAAAATAAATAAATAAAAATAAAATTGTGAAAAAATTATTAAAATTCTTATACATTCGATACATTTGAATAATTAATAATAATAATAATAATTTTTTTTCTTTCTTTTTCTCTGCCAAAACTCACAATTATCATTATTATTATTATTATTAGTATTATTATTATTATAAATTTGTGAAAATTATTATTATTATTACCTGTAAATTTTATAAACAAAAAAGAAATTTAAAATCAGATCATAGTAATACTGTAATCAAATTTTTTTTTTTTTTAAATAAAATAATTTATTTATTTATTAATAATACCATTTATTAATTAATTAATTTATTTAAAACGTAAAATTTTTCTTTTTTTTATTTTTATTAATTAATTATAACATACATAATTTATTTATAATAATAAAAAATCATTTTAATTATTTAAAATATTTTTCAAATAAAATAAAAAAAAAATTATCCATCTAGTAGAAACTTCTTTCGATTTTATTTAATTTTATTTTATTTAATACTGATTATTAATAATTTATTAAATAAATACTTTAATAATAATAATAAAAAATTATAAGAATGATGATGATGATGATTAAGTCGAAAGAGAAAGAGAGAGAGAGAGAGAGAAAAAAAAAAGTGTCTATAATACTTATATCGTTGTGAGATTCAAATGTTTTTATTTTTCTTATACTGTTCAATTTTAACGAAAAAATCCGATTGGAAAACAAATTAATAATAATAATAATAATAATAATAATAATAATAACAAAATTTAACATTTCATACTGTCCGTGAAAAAAAAAAAAAAAAAAATTAACATTAAATGATGACAAATTTGCAAAAACAAACAAACAAACAATGATTAACAATTTAAATAAGTGAAATAAATAATAATTAAAGCCAAAAAAAAAAAAAAAAAATTGAAATTTGGATATAATTATAAATTATCATTATTATTATTATTATTATAAATTATTATTGTAATACTATCCTCGTTTTATTATTATTATCATCACCATCGACGGGAAACCAACGAAAAAAAAAAAAAAAAAAAAAAAAAAAAAGAAATTTTTTTCGTCTCTAAATTTTAATAAGTTACGCGGCTTGTTACAACAGTAATAATAATAATAATAATTAATTAATTAATAATAATAATAATAATAATTAATTAATAATAATAATAATAATAAAAAGATGTAATATTCCAAGATCGTGGCTATATAATTAATTATCATCACAATATATATGTATATATATATATATAAAATTCATTTCGTTATTACCCCCCCGTAAATATTTAATTCATTTCATCATCATTATCATCATCATCATCATCATCATCATGAGGGGATGATGATGATGATGTGCTTCTTGATGATTTCTGTCAATGTAAAATTATTTCACCGAGTATTTTCTATCTTTATTTTTTTTAAAATTGTTGTTAAAAAAAAAAAAAAAAAAAAAAAAAATCTATGCAAAAAATTTAACTACAAAACCAAATTTAATGCAATCTTTTCTTTTTCCTTTTTTCCTGTTTATATATAGAAGCCGACATCATTTTCCGCTACTTCCATGTTTGTTCTATACTAAAAAAAAAAAAAAAAACAGTGCGACAAGGTGGTTGGTGGTGGTGGTGATGACTCCGCGTAATAATCGAAACCTTGAGAGAGAGAGAGAGGAAAGAGAAAAAAAAAAAAAAAAGCGCCCCCCCCAAAAAAAAAAAAAAAAATTGAAATTTCGGATGATGAGTTTTTCAATGTCTCAGTGAAGTCCAAATATTCATTCGTTCTACCTTCGTTGATGAAAATGAAAAATAAAAAAAAAAAATAGAAAAAATTAGTTTTCCTTCAGTGAAATTTTCACAACGTGGAGGGGGTGGGGGTGGATAATTACCGGATAATCGTCGAAAAATATCTGTTTAAGCTGCTTTTTTTTTTTTTTTTTCTTTTTTTTCTTTTTTCTTAGTTTGTTTGTATTTAAACTGGTACGTAATTTCCTTTCGGTTTGTGGAATATATTTCCGGTAACGATTCTTCTCAACAATTCCTTAAGCAAAAGTCGTTTTTCTTTTTTTATTTTCTTTAATATTCCTTTATTTTCCTGAGCTCTCCTCGACAGATAGGGTAAAACTTCGTTGACGGGTCCGTAGGGAATATATTTATACGCCGAATATCCCGACTGACCTACAATAATAATAATAATAATATAATTTTAAATATGATTAAACCTCTTGATGGGTTCTCGAATATTATCATCATCGTACTTACCAAGCGGAAATGTTATGTAGTCGCACATTCCTAGTAATTGCCCAAAGCAAATAACTTTATCTTCGGGAGATATTCCAATTTCTTTCATTCTGTAAAACGAACCATTTGTTCAAAAATTTATTTTATTTTATTTTATTTTTGAAAAATTTCAAAATCCCTTTGCCAAAACAAAAAAAAAAAAAAATTTATTCATTATTTATCATTTATTTAACCTTGACAACTTTTTTTCCATCAACTTACTTTTCTATGGCAAATCTCACGGTGTCTTCGTTATGACTCGCGACCATAATCCCGATTTTTTTCGCATCTTCTCCCTTGTCTTTGAGATCTTTGATTCGTCTCAAACACTCCGTGAGTGTTCTGTGATACATGACGGTGGTTGCTTCGAACGACGGATTCGTCGGATCCGGGTAGTTTAACGCAGCCGCTCTCCCTCTTTCCTAACCATTCAAAATTAAACAAGAAAATAAATAAATGAAATACTAAAAGGTCGCTGTCAACAATGAAAATCATCCTTTTTTTTTTCCCCGAACCTTAGTTTAAAGAATCTGAAAAATAACGGACAGTCACATTTCTTATGATTTTCCAAAAAAAAAAAAAAAAAAAAACAAAACCCGTCATTTGCTCCTTTTATTTTTAACTAAACTTTTTGGTTTTTGTATTAAACGTACCTTTTACAACAAAGTTACAACGTCGAATTTATCGTAGGAGTTGACATTCAAATTCTTACATTCATATTGCAACAACAACCACAACGACAACAACAACAACAACCACAACAACATAACGCGTTCTATCTACTTCTGTATATATCTCTTCACTAGAGGATCGAACGAAATTATGGTTTGTTTTACACCAAATAAAATGGGCTTTAAAAAAAAAATTATATCGAACAAACCCCCCCGGGGGGGGGGGGCGCGCGCGCAACAACGTTTCAACATTACCTGCTCTAAATAAGCTCCTCTCACGAGTTTGGCTCCGAAATAAAAATTCTGCCTTTTCGCCTGTTCCAAATCCGTCGTCACTTCGTTATATGTATCCTTCAAGTAACACTGATAAGTGTTGAAGACGATGGCTTTTTCCCTATTGTATTTTCGCATCATTTCGAGCGTGATTCGAGATATGGCCGGTTGGAAATACGTTTGTTCTGCATCTATCATAACTCGAACATCCATTTCTTGCGCGGCCTTTAATCAATCAATCAATCAATCAAATTAAAACTTTTACGTCATTCTAAATTAACTCGGGTAAATAAAATTTAATCGATTCGCATTCACCTACCTTAATGACGGTGTTGACTCGTCTAACCATATTCCTAAACATTTCTTCTTCTTTGGGGGAAAATTGCGTGACGAGCCGTACCATTTTACCACTTTTCAAATCGGGAACTCGGAAGGTATCGCTAAGTTGTTGATTATCGTCTATTATCCCGTACCACGGAAAAAGATGAATGACACTGCAATGATAATAATAATAATAATAATAATAATAATTTTCAATTTGACCGTGTCATTATTAGTAAAAATAAATTTCAATTCCAAACAACAATACCCATCCTACCCTTGTTCGTCGTATGTGACTCGATCTAAAAATTCTTTAACGGGCCCTTCCGTGAGAACGTTTGCCTGTTCGTAACGTTTGGACAAATCTTCTCGTCGAACGTGATGACCCAAAACGTTTCCCCTTCCTCCATCTAATTCTGCCATGTATTGACGAGTTCTCATGATTACTTCGGAAACTTGCAACTGGAAATAAAATATTTTAAATTTTTTTCTTCTTCTTCTTCTTCTTCTACTATGCTTATATATATATTATAAAAAAAAAAAAAAAATTATTTACCAGTAACTGAGGTCTTCCCAAAGCCGTGAGCTTAATGGCCGTTAAACCAGTACCGAAAGTTGCTCCTGAAAAAAATATAAATCATCGATTAAAAAATTTTCCTGATGGAAAAAATTTTCATTGAAAATGATTTCTAAATGTCATTTTAAATACAATTAATCAAGAAAAAATATGTTTATGTAAGATACATAAATTGATTGATGATGTGGTCATGCTATAATTACAATAATAATAATAATAATAATACTTATTTTTTCTTTTTGTAGGAAAATTCTAAAAGCTCGAGCAATGTACAACAAATACTTTTTGCGAACAATTGTGAGATTATGAATTATTCGACAATAAAAAAATTAATATTTACGATGATAAAAAAAAAAAAAAAAAAAAAAAAAATTTAAGGGGAAAAATGCTTCGGGAAATTTTATCGACTTGCTTACAAAAAAAAAAAAATCAAAGAGTTATTAATTTTTACTTCTAGAAAATTTTCATTTCAACTATCGACATGCGTGAAAATAATTTTTGATAGGAATTTTTTTTTTTAATGAAAACTTTGGAATCGATATGTATATTCAAAATAAAAGAAAAAGTGGTTTTTTTTTGTTTTCCCCCCCATTTTCTTTTGTCAAAATCAACTACGTATAGTAAGTAACAAGATATGAATTTGGTAAATGATATTGTCTAACGAGAAGTAATGAAGAAAAAAAAATTGAAATGATCCATTTTCAATAAATATTATGCCTTAGAACTAAGAGAATGATTTGGTTTCGAAAAACAGTTTTCGAAAATCGTTTCGATATCAAAAAAAAA